TTAATTTTTATATCACCATATTTTTATTTAAAATGTATTCTTTTCTCTCGCTTCGTCCACCATTACTAGCACAAAAAAATCTCCGGTCGGGCCGTGATGCATTATGGGATATGCTGGGCCGGGAAGGATCCATCAGACCTGTCCTTCGATTTGGGCCAAAGGAAGGACGTATTTGTCGGCCGCATCGGAGGAGTCTTCGGTTTTGGACGTCCTTCGTCGCGGCGCTGTGAYRTATGCGGCCGACAAATTCGACCTTCGGAGGACCCGTCCTGCCGTTTTGGAGCCATATAGACCCCATCTGAAGGATTTGAAAGTAATTATCCACTCTAACATTAGAATCAAGATAGCAACCACAGCTATTAGTCACCAAAAAGTATAATCCAGTAAAATGAACAGACATTGAGGTCAAATTTGGTGTAGTTGCGTGTTTTCTTCAACACAGTCTTTGAACGAAATGTAATTTCCCAAAATCACACAATATTGCATGAGATTGTGCATAAGATTATAACCAAGATTTGACCAATAAAGCAATGGCAGAAAATAAAATTTATGTTCTAAACTATGACACGGAAGGCAACAGGAGATAAGCTTTAATTACATTTATTTGTGGATAATTCACTTATCTACAGTAACTGTCACAGTGTCTGGCTCCACTCAAAAAGAACGGCAAACAATTTACTGTAATCTAAAATGTAAGGGTTTTTACAGCATTTGTATAGAGGCAGTCCTGTATTTCCCCTGTTTATTATTGCAGTCATTTTCAAGCAGCAACATGCAGCAGGTGGCATCCATCATTCCAGACTCTGCGTTCCACCCGGGCCTCGGTTACACCAATCACCCCCTAGTTCATAAAGGAGAGGGCGGCGTCAGGCTGGATGAAACAGAACTACACAATCTAGGATGAAAATGCAAACGAAGAAGAGTTGAAATGCCCACCCCGAGTCTTCTCACTTACATGTGACCACACCGAGGAGGAACCCCTTCCTCAATCAACGTGTCAGCCAGGATAAAACACAGCTGCTTACTCACACATTAACCATGCCCTCGTTTCTGTATTCCATGTCTTAGATTGTACAAAACACAAGGATCTGTGTAACATACCACTATAAGGGTCAGCACTTTAATGACATAATCCTAACTTGAGGACAAAAAAGTAGATTTTCCTCATAACTGGACCATAGCTAGCAGATGCTTGCCAGCGGTGCACATAAACAGAGGAGAACTCAGCAACTTGCTTGCAGTCATAACGGTGATAGCAGATATGAAAAAGCAGCTGTTGTCTGAGGCTGCATGTGGCTTGAATGGCAATGAGGCTGCAGCATGTTCCACATATTGAAACTACATCAGGGTGGAAAAAACTACAGATTTACAATGGCAGCAGCTGTATTTGTTTTAAGCATAAACTTATAATCTTTAGTTTGTTGCTTCATGCATGAAGTTACCAGGATGATCTCAGAAACAGTCCATACAGCAATGTTAAACCTGCACCACAAATGCATTTTATACTCTGTACATGCAAATGGGGCACCAAGTGTAACATAAAAAAAGGGTCACTAACACATTTTCATTATTTAGCTCATGTTCTGAGTGTAAAATCCTAGTTTGAAAATTTCCACTAACATGCTAAGGTTTAGTTCACTGTTCTTACAATTTGCTAATTTTTACTAAATGTTAAATTTAAATATTATATTTAAGTGTGAATCCTAAATCTTAATGCGTAAAAGTTAAAGTTAAATTTGTCCTAATGCATCTCAGTAATCCAGGTAAAAAAATCAAAAAGAAAAAAATTGTGTAGGTCTTCTGGACGGGTTCTTCTCTAATGAAACGTTTCGTCTCTCCTCCAAGAGACTTCTTCAGTCTGAGAGTTTCAGGCAAAATTCAGGCTTTTAAGCCCTGCCTCCATGTGACTGATACTCACATCACATGGCTATCCTTGACACCTAATTAACACCTATTGTTAACAGGGGGTGGAGTGATACTGGCAATAGCAGCACTGTAGGAGGGGGACAACTGAAAACAGAGGCCTCCACCTCTGTTTAATGATGGACGGTCTTTTTTCACAAAAATGGCTTCTTTTACTCCTCTCTCAAACCAACGTTCCTCTCTATCAAGAATGAGAACATCCTCATCTCTGAAAGAGTGACCGCTGGCCTGTAAATGACTGCAGAGTTCTGGCCATTAGACGTAGCTCGTCTGTGTTGGGACATTCTTTTGAACAGTGGCTGCTTTGTTTCCCCGATGTATAACTGGTCGCAGTCCTCTTGGCACTTAACAGCATTTACAACATTGCTCTGTTTGTGCCGGGGCACCGGATCTTTGTGGTGAACCAGCCTTTGCCGTAATGTGTTTTGGGGTTCGAAAGCCACTGGGACATCATGTTTAGAAAATAAACGTCTCAGTTTCTCCGAAACACCCGCAACATACGGAAAAACCACTGGTTTGGGTCTGGGTTTGGGGTCTTCATTTTCACCTGAAGGTTGCATGGAATCCTGTCTGTCCAGTCCATGCAACCTTCAGGTGAAAATAAAGACCCCAAACCAGTGGTTATTCCGTATGTTGCGGGTGTTTCGGAGAAATTGAGACGTTTATTTTCTAAACATGATGTCCCAGTGGCTTTCGAACCCCAAAACACATTACGGCAAAGGCTGGTTCACCCCAAAGATCCGGTGCCCCGGCACAAACAGAGCAATGTTGTATATGCTGTTAAGTGCCAGGAGGATTGCGACCAGTTATACATCGGGGAAACAAAGCAACCACTGTTCAAAAGAATGTCCCAACAGAGACGAGCTACGTCTAATGGCCAGAACTCTGCAGTTTTCACTCATTTACAGGCTAGCGGTCACTCTTTCAGAGATGAGGATGTTCTCATTCTTGATAGAGAGGAACGTTGGTTTGAGAGGAGTAAAAGAAGCCATTTTTGTGAAGAAAGACTGTCCATCATTAAACAGAGGTGGAGGCCTCCGTTTTCAGTTGTCCCCCTCCTACAGCACGGCCATTGCCAGTATCACTCCACCCCCTGTTAACAATAAGTGTTAATTTGGTGTCAACAATAGCCATGTGATGTGAGTATCAGTCACATCTCAAAAGTCTGAATTTTGCCTGAAACTCTCAGACTGAASAAGTCTCTTGGAGAAGAGACGAAACGTTTCATTAGAGAAGAACCCGTCCAGAAGACCTATACAATTTTTTTCTTTTTAAAGTTAAATTCTAAATGTTGCAGCTGAATAATAATGTTTACATTTAAGTCATAATGGAACACAGCCTTTCCTTTGGTGAGTGGCTTTTGTTACATCATCATCCTGTATCCTGTGACAAAAGCAAATGCTAATGCTGCTAACACTGCTAACACTTCCCAACAAGACATCAAAACGTAAAGTTGCGGCCGGTGTCCGAGCTGAACCTTCAAACTGCTGGACCACAGGTACCATCCGTGTTGTTTTTAATAAATATATTTTGAATTTCAATTTTAAATGCCATCTTCAGCAGCATTGGCTTTCGGTGCAGGATGATGACGTCACAATGAAAGCCACACACCAACATCAAAGGCTGCATTCCATTCCAAAATTCTTTAATGTGTGCTTTATCATTTAGCTGCAACATTTAAGATTTTATTTTTACATTTAGGTTTGGGATTTAACATAAAGACATAACATTTACATTTAAGATTTAGTAAAAATGAGCAGTGAGTGAAATGACAAAATATTAGTGGAAAATTTTAAACTAGGATTTTACACTCAGAAAGTGAGCTAAATAATGAAAACGTGTTGGTGACCATTTTTAAACATTTTATTTTACACTTGGTGCCCCGTATAAATTTATTTTCTCCAAAATGTAAACACACAATACATTTTCACTGTAAACAAACCAGTCACCTTTTTATTTTGTTCATTTAATCTTTTTACACAGTTTTACTCATATTTTGCAGAGTTTAATCTAATCTTTCACACTAATTGACCTTAGCCTGTTCAAAAAAATGGCTGTAACTCAGTTTTTTTTTTTTTTCAGATATTGAGCTAAAATTTAGTGTGGTATAAGCTGGGAGTCATTTACAAAACTCATTCTCCAAGAGCTAACAGATCAAACATTATGTATGTTATTTTCAAGGTTTGACCAAGAACGCTATGCCTTTACTCTGAACAGGACATCCTTCCTTGTGATTTGCTGTGATGCTCAGCATTAAAAAAAAAAAAAGGGGGGAGAGCTCGCTGCCATCTGCCAGAAGATGAAGCATACTATCGCCAAGTGTCAGCCACAGTAAATACTGTCAGTGTTATATAGTGATGCAATTACAAGTAGTGTGGATAAAGAGGGTAGACTGAGGTAATAGCCTAGAAGAGAAAAAGAGACAGCAGAGATTTGGAACATAAAAGATGTGTCATCACTTTTCATTACACCCAAATAGTAGCACCTTTGGTATTTATTGATGATGATACTGGGAGAAAAAAAAACCCCACAACAAAATACATTTTTGTTTTACCACAGAAGCTGTTTAAAATCCTAACTGGAACAAGACCTTGGTGCCGATGTCAGGAAATGACATATAGCTGGAAAAGAGGCATGAAGAGTCATATGAAGGAATAGCAGCACATATGAGACAGGAGACAGATCATGCTTTTAAATCCCTTTTTCACATTTCACATTCAGTTGGAGTCTATATAAAATGGAACTGCAATGTTTTGATCTGAGTTCCTCCTTATTGTAACTCCACAAGCCCCTTTTTCACCCATTTTCCAAGTTGTGTCTCAGAACAACTCGTTTTGTTGTGGTCTCTTTAAATCCAAAACGAGGCGGTTCACACCCCAACATTTAGATTTTATGTAATTAGATGTTTACACTTAAAAGAAAAGACATCATGATTGTGTGCTAGAAAGATCATGGGATGTAAAACCACATTGCCCTTGGGCACAAACTCTTGTTCCAAAAATACAACATAGCAGCTGCCGGAGGTGTTACTGGACATTGAAACGAACAGCACAGGTTAACAAAGCACTTCATAAAACAGCCCAGTTCTCATAGCTAAGTACCCTTGTAGATACCTCTGTAAATACACAGTTCTTTTCATGACCCTGTAAGTACCCTATACTGTATGTACCCATAAATACCCTGTATGTACCGCCTGTGACACAATGTTTGGCTTCCATCCCAAACGTCTTCATTGAAGAGTACAATGATAGTTTTGTCATAGATGGACGCCTGTTTATACCTTTTGTGTATTTGTCTGAAATGTGATCAAGATGGTAAGCATGACAGCTAGGTGGTTAACACTGTTGCGTTGTGCGTTTGTGGGTTTTCTTCAGGTATACTCACATTTCCTCCCACCATCCAAAAACATGCATGTTAAGTTTGCCCTCAGGCTCAGGCCTCTCTCATGGGATTTGCATGGCTAAATAAACTTAATAAAATGAGCCTGGCAATGCCTAAGCTGCCGTAAATGCATTAATACCATGTCTTTACCATCTAGCATCCGGTCACAAACAGAACAAGAATATTCTCAACTTTGTAGAAGATCTTCACAAAACAATGGCTATCATTTTTTAACAACCGTTAAGGATTTGCTCTCAGCTTTTAACTATCATGACAAGATATAAAAATAGGATAAAATGAGGAAACAGCAGCTTCATTGTTGCTGTAGTTTCTAGTAAACAAAATGACAGTAGACACGAACCTAACAGGTTGTTACATCATCAGTTCCCAAAATATGCGTTTGTTTCAATTGACAAGAATTCACCAATCATGGATGTTTTATAAAGCTCCATTTTGGAGAGTGTTTTTTTTAATGTTTTTCCCTCAAAAAATTTCAGTTTGTTTGAGGACAGGAGGTCTAAAGGCAGCATTTGTATTCACTGTAGTGTCGATTGCATACATGTCAAGTTGTACGGTGTCCGTAAATTTTACATATTCCCCGCCCCCCTCTTTTGAAAGTATACAGACATAAACGGCAAGCTCATGGATTTTTTTTTCCCAAATCTCACAGATTTAAAAAAAAACTGAAAATATAGATAAAAGGGGTTGACATGGATGAGATGGAGCCTCACAAACTGAACTGTAAAAGCCTCTGAATTTGTAAGATTACAAAAATGGCATTTCTCCCAAATCTAAAATAAATGGAAAACATTCAACTTAAAGCAGACCTTTTAAAAACATTATTAAAGAGAAGCCTTTATAGACACAGAAATGATTTTCTGGCTCAGGAGAACAGTAAGCATAAAATCATTGAGATCAATACTATTAGATTTGTTCTTTATTTTCCTCGTCTATTCAATTATGATCCATTTGACATTTAAAGTGATGCAGCTCTGATGTACCATCCAAGTTTTCGTTTTTTACCGTTTCTCAGAAACCCTAGAAGTGATGTGTTCAGGCACCTTTCTCATCTGCTCATTTCAGGGAAGAGTGAGTTATTAAGAGCCATGCTTAATCGCCAGTTGAACAGTTTTCATCTCGGCTCCTTGGCCAGGGACAGGTCCGATACGATCTGTGGCTTTTCAGCCCCCTCCTCCCTGCTTTGTCCCAGAGTGGCTTTTCTTTCCGGTGTTTGAAGACGGCAGAAAACTCTCTCCAAATGGTCCAGGAAAATGAACTGAAAATGACTCTATTACCCCCACTTTCTGAGTTTTTATACCGAACAGATGTTAGAACGACGGCAACAGATGAGTCTTGAAGTTTAATCAAACCATAAATAAGTGCTTTGCATTCATTTTCCATCCTAAGAATGCAGATGAGGAGAGTCCTAAAACTTTTTCTTTGTTAGAAATCCAGAGTTTTGTTGTTCTTTTTAGTGTTAGAAAAAAAAAAGAAATTTAACTCCGTATGTTCTCAAGTTTTTGCCTCATTTCCAGTTGTTTCTACAACACAAAAGGTATCAGAGCCTTCCTGCTTTTAGGATAGTCTTCAAACTTGGTGAGGTACCATCTGTTGAGCAAGAAAAAGAGAAGGTTTTCTTTCAAATATGTACACTCAACCTGTGACGCCCTTCCTTCCGAGCGTGTGTGTCGTTCTCCTTACTTGTGGTGGGCCACAGCCCTGCTGGAGAGTACCACTGTAGTGAAGAGGGCGAAAGCGGCGCTGTGAACAGATTGGGCGGCCACAGCGAAGCCAGTCCACTCCGTTATCTCCCCCAAGAAGTTGGCCGCAGAAACATATTCAAACATTCCACCTTCGAGGCAAAGGACACTGAGGTCAAAACTGGTCTGCTTAACCTTTTAGGAGTTCAATGAAACCAAAAAATAAAAATAAAAAACAAGTCAAACATGGTACCTCACAGCTAAAACTAACAAACCGCTATCGTTACGTGGGAATGACAGATTCTTGGCTGAGGGGAGTCCAGACCTGGAAGTTCAGTCAGAGCAACACAGCCCAGTGTCAAACCTCCTCACTTCATTTTAGCTTTACTAAAGATGTTTGAGCAAATATTAACTCTCTTACCAGTGGTCTGTATTTAAGTCATGATGCCAGAGATGAGAAAGTAACTGAGTAACATTATTTCCTGACTGTACAACACAGAAGTGAGAAGGAAAACCTCTCACCTCGTGGAATCTTGTACCCGGTCTCACCAGGCTTTCTCAGGTTCCTCAGGATGTGGTCTGAGTGAATATTCAATAGCCAGCCAGTCAACCAAAGGGCAGAACCTGGAGATGGAACCAAATTAGCAGATTTTTCACATAAACCTGTATAAGACAACTTGGTTTTCAGATTGTTTTTTGACACTAAAGAGATTTCTGCTCTAAAATCAACTAAACACTCATATTTGCTTACAAGAAGACTTCTCTCTGTACACGGAGGAAGAGAGTCCCTATAGACACAAAACATTTAGGCCACATCCATGCTACTGCAGGTACTGTTTTAGACAGATGTTTATTTCCTCCATTTTATATTTTTGTCTTTGTTGTTCAAATTAAATTGCTAAAACATCTACGCCACGTCACTAAGCCTGACCTTTAATTAACCAGGCAAATGCCACTTAGATTAACAGGTCTCTCTTGTAAAAGAGACATTGGGCCTCATGCAAGAACCATTCGTACGCACAGATTTGTTCTTAAGTTGTGCGTACGAGTGATTTAGGAGAATTTGTGGCATTCATTAATGTTTTCATATTCTAAGATTTTTTTCAGATATGAACAAAATTCACGAGTGGTCCAGTTCTGTCGTATATTTTACGAGCAGTCAGTCTGCTGTTATCCAGACGGGGTTTCCTCCCTAATAACTTTATATTTCGTTAGTTTGAAGATATTTTGAGTTGAAAATAAATCACACTCTATGATTATCTTGACAATAGGCTATTCTGCTTGAATTAGAGTTATAATTTTAAATGTAATAAATTAAACTAACAATATAAATTGTCCGTTCGTCCGTTTTCTGCCGCTTATCCGGGATCAGGTCGCGTGGGCAGCAGCAGAGAGACCCCGCTCTCCCCAGCGACTCCATGTCCTGGGGGACACCGAGACGTTCCCAGGCCAGAGGGGATACATAATCCCTCCAGCAAGTCCTGGATTTTCTCCAAAGTGCCAGACATATTTTGAAAACATTTTAAAATGCTTATTTCAGAACCGCAACTGAGACCACCTGCGACCGCGCGGGGGTGGTGGTGGTGGTAGTGGGGGGGTACGGTGCGCGACAGTGTGGCTTCTGAATAAATGAAAATGATTTAACACAGTTGTTGTTTATACTTTTAGCAGCTCCTTTTATTCCACAGCTGATGCTGCTAAAAATGACAGATTTTCTTTTCTGGATCTCTGACAGACGGACTTCAATCTCTGAACTCGTAAAGTTCTTTTTAGTTTTCGCTGTCATTTTCCTAAATGGACACTTCCTGATATCAGAGGCAGGAAACATAGCCTTATATGATGTTTTCGGGGTGGTAATTATGCTGATCTCCGCTCCTCGTGCACGAGCAGCTGATACACATTCATCAGTTTACACAGCTCATTTACACCCTTTTCCTGAAGATAGAAGAGTTTGTTGAATCTGACGTGACATGTTCGTACGAACCCTTCGTACGAACGAAAGTAAGAGAAATTTAGGAGAAGAATACGAACATGTTCTTGCATGAGGCCTAATGAGTCTCAAGATATCTTCATGTATAAATAAAGGATAAATAAAAAAAAAAAATAAATAAATCAATGGAGGCCTGAAGGCAACCTGTTGTCCATGTTTTTTAGTCTGTGGGAGGAAACTGAGCACCTGAAGAAAACCCACAAAAAGTCCCCCGGTACAAACCGGGAATCAAACCCAGGACCTTTTTGCTGTGAGGGCTTAGTGCTAAACAATGTCATCGTGCTGGAGAAATTAATGAAAAATTAAATGGAAATAACGAGATATCAAAATAGATACATTTTAGCTGTTTTTATACTGAATTGTTGTTTTTTTTTTTTTGCTAGTTTTAGCCTTTAGCTAACCTTTTGATACGTTAAACTGCAGTTCTGCTGTTTAAAATGTGAAGATTGTCATTGTTTGAATTAATTTTTTGGAAAAAAAGGGTCAGATATTATAAGATTTTTTTTCTGTCTGCTGCCTTTCATTTTATTTGTGATTTGTATTTATTGTTTTATATAGAATTTGTTTAAATTTTTTTAAAGAAATGAATAAACTTTATAAACTAAACTAAACTAAACTCTTTCCTACCTTAAGCTTTCATTCTGCTACTTTTAATTTTTTACTTGCCCTTTGCTTTTAGCTACTGTTCAGCTATTTTTTCATTTTCTATCTAGACTTTTACTAGGTTTAGAGACTTTTTATTTTAGCAACCAATCTCCTAATTTTCTTCTGGCTTTTTGCTACTTTTTGTGACATTTAACAACTAATTTGCAGCAACTTTCAGTGAAGTCTTTCAACTCTCAGCGTTCACACTGAACTTTTATTGAAAAATATTTTTCTCTAGTGAACATTTATGATTCCATCAAGTGATTTAGGAGGCGAGGGAATTTCAGGACTGGTAAACTGTGATTTATAATGATAATAAATCCATTTTAATGATCAAGAATGGAGATAAAGTGAGAAACTCAAACAAAGTTTAAAAAACCCCCAGAAATAATAAACTTATTGTGGATAATCAGATTATTGTGTGTAAATTTAATCTTAAACAGTTTATATTTCTGTTTTAGAACTAGGTGAAGCTCCTGAACACCTACCAACGATGAAGTATGGATGTGTAACCCAGTACGCAGGGTACTCGGCGTAGTGGCTCAGATATCGGACCTGCATGTAGCCATTATAGATGCAGAAAACAAAAGCCAAGGCAAATGAGACGAACGGCGTTGATTTCCCACCTCGGATTACAAACGGATAAATGAGTGTTCTGCAAAGCAACAAACTAGGATCAGTGTTAGATAAATGAACCCAAATATTGATGCGATCGGACGGGACTTTCACACAAACATGAAAGATGAATAAACAGTTTTATAAAACCGACCAGCTCTGTGTATCCAACAATATATGTCAAATTACATCATGATGTTTGTTTATACAAGGAGCATATAGAGTTCCTGGAAGTATCAGAGTGATAAGAACATCTTAATAAAGGAGATGGGCATATATTAAGATCCATTTAATAGGTGCATAAAAAAGACAGGAAATTTAGAGTGTCAATCTATTTAAATATGTCTACATACCTCTGGAAATAGTGGCACAGGAACATGGTAACGAGGAGCTGATTTGGCAATTGAGACATTTTGGCGGAAGATTCCCAAAACATCAAACACAAAGGCAACAGCAACGAGGGCAACTCCTGAACGAACCAGGCAAGTTTGACATTGACAGGAAATCCATATTTACTCGACGCATATCTCCCGTAAGGGACGTTTTGAAAGAGCAGACTTAGAAACGTGCAGACTGCCATGAAAACCATGAAGTAAGCCATGAAGTCCAACATCTTCAGTTCCTCCTCCTCCGAGGACCAGAGCCAGGAGAGCAGCGCATCCATCGCAGTACCAAACGAAACCCTGAAATAATGTTACTAATTTCAAAGTTATTTATTAGCTGGCTAGGCATGCTCCAGCGCGCATGCCTGCTCCTGATTGACAACAACCAATCAAAGGTAGAGCGATGTGACAACGAACCAATCAGAACGCTCGGTTCTGTATCGACATTACGCGACGTCACCCGATAGCTGATGCCACTCATTAATATTCATTCACGGTATGAATACACCGCTTTCTGTGAGCAACAAAAACAATCAAATAAGGAAACAAAATACATAAATTCATTCTTGGCCTGTTTACAAGGATTATTTACTGTTAAATACCTTTTTTTTTAGAGGCACGTAGTGTGGGCACACAAGAGCTCCACCTCCACACAATTAGCCAATCAGGAGAAAGCTATTATTTAAAGTCCACCCACCATTGCTTGCCAAGTTTTAAAAACTATCCACGTTTTTACTGTTATTACTATTTGCATTTCACTCTAAATACCTATATTTTAGAGAAACAGCAGGTGCATTTTTTGGCAGCAAAATGCCTACAAAGCAACCTGAGTCCGCCTGCGCCATTAATAAATCAAACGCTTTTAAATGTGTTGTTCTTTTATGTAAGTTTAATTCACAGTCAAATGCCATCCCCATAAGTAAATAAATACAAATCTAACAAGCATCCGCGAAGACAATAATCTCAGGCGAATGTCGTGGCCACCTATGAAAGGTCCTAATTCACGTGCGTCAGAGACAGACAGCACGTTCCGCTGATACACAACCGACCACAGCGCATCTCCTAAAACGCCTAGCTTTATAGCACAGTTTGTCCGCATGTTAGGGTCTTTTTTTTCCTGCCTCCACACACTCCGTTGTTCCGTAGACGTTTGTCCAAGGTGGTCTGTTGTTCCAACATGGGTAAACGAAGCAGGCAGAGGCAGAAAAACCAGAATGCTGGCAGCAGAGACGACAGAGACAGCGCTGTAAGTTAGACCCACACACTCCCACTGCTGAGGTAAACCCTGCTGTTCATGTTAACTGCAGTAAAGATGTTAAATGAAGAGGCTTTAAAATAAAGGCAGTGATATTTGCCTGCTGGTTTTGTCTAAACATGTGACTTGGACAGGCTGCAGCATAAAGAGGTTTATGGTTAGCTGCCTGCTTAAAAAATGAGTTGGATGTGTTCCTAAAGTGGTCATCTGATAATGCAGACATGTTATTATATATGTAACACAAACAGACAGTCTTTAGTAATCTTTTAGTTTTTGTTCATTTAAGCTGCACCACTAGTTTCACACAAGTGCACTAAAACAACAGAGAGACACTTGTAAACCTGCAGGCATGTGTTTCAGGGCTGGGGAGCAGGCTACGCAGACATCGTCAAAGAGAACAAGCTGTTTGAGCATTACTACAAGGAACAAGGCCTGATCCCTGAGGGAGAGTTTGAGCAGTTCATGGAGGCGATGAGGGAACCTCTGCCAGCAACCATCCGCATCACTGGATATAAAAGGTAAGCTGGACAGAATTAGGACTTCAGAGTCACACTTGGTTCTGCTCAACACCAGGCAAGTTTTCAAAAGTGTGTAACCTTTTTTAAATATCAATCATACATTTTTTTTGTATGTTTTCTGGTTCATTATATCATGTTTGTAAGCAGAATCACTCATTTTTGTGCAATGGGCAGAAAGCAAACTCATCAATGGGTAACAGCTAAAGGAATAAATAAATAAATACATTATCATGAGAAGGCTTAGCCCTGAGGCAAGGTAGCAGTATATGAGGATGAGATTATAAGCAATAAAGGGGAACACACACGACAGGCCCTGGAGCAGTGTGGTTATCCTGACTGGGCTTTCCTGAAAGCAGACAGGAAACACAGACAGGATTCCATGCAACCTTCAGGTGAAAATGAAGACCCCAAACCCAGACCCAAACCAGTGGTTATTCCGTATGTTGTGGGTGTTTCGGAGAAACTGAGACGTTTATTTTCTAAACATGATGTCCCAGTGGCTTTCGAACCCCAAAACACATTACGGCAAAGGCTGGTTAACCCCAAAGATCCGGTGCCCCGGCACAAACAGAGCAATGTTGTATATGCTGTTAAGTGCCAGGAGGACTGCGACCAGTTATACATCGGGGAAACAAAGCAGCCACTGTTCAAAAGAATGTCCCAACACAGAGAGCTACATCTAATGGCCAGAACTCTGCAGTTTTCAGTCATTTACAGGCCAGCAGTCACTCTTTCAGAGATGAGGATGTTCTCATTCTTGATAGAGAGGAACGTTGGTTTGAGAGAGGAGTAAAAGAAGCCATTTTTGTGAAGAAAGACCGTCCATCATTAAACAGAGGTGGAGGCCTCTGTTTTCAGTTGTCCCCCTCCTACAGTGCTGCTGTTGCCAGTATCACTCCACCCCCTGTTAACAATAAGTGTTAGTTAGGTGTCAAGGATAGCCATGTGATGTGAGTATCAGTCACATGGAGGCAGGGCTTAAAAGCCTGAATTTTGCCTGAAACTCTCAGACTGAAGAAGTCTCTTGGAGGAGAGACGAAACGTTTCATTAGAGAAGAACCCGTCCAGAAGACCTATACAATTTTTTTTTCTTTTTGATTTTTTACCTGGCTTACTGAGATGCATTGGGAACACACATGTTCAACTCAAACCTGTCAGCCAGGACGATGAAGATGCATCTTAATAAAAGAAATAAAATTTTATTATTAATAAAATAAAACAAACGGACATCATGCAGTCCTAAACTTAGTAGACTATTAAACTTGTGCAAACGAGTGTTTACATGCACCAGGCTTTTATTCAGAACAGAAACACTGACATGCACAGTTGCTAACTCCCCCTGGCCAAAAAAATAAAAAATAAAACCACACAGAAGAGTTTGACTTTCATCATGTCCGTAAACAAGCAGCTTCTGTATGTAGAGTATCACATTGACATATTTAAAGCTGTGTTGTTTTTCTGTCAACCAGCAAAGGTTTTGACTAAGGTGATCATGACATTTGCTTTTTCCCTTTATTTTTCATTTCTGTGTCTCTGTTGGTTTTTGCTCTTTAAATATAAAGTGTCTGCTGTGAAAGGGTTTGTACGTCACATTTTATTTAAAATGTGAATGCTTTGATTGTTCAGTTCTTTTTTTAGTTTTACCTTTTATTTCCTGCCACCTTGCAGCCACGCCAAGGAGATCCTCCACTGTTTGAAGGGAAAATATTTCAAGGATATTCAAGATTTGGAAATCGATGGCCAGAAGATTGAAGCCCCACAGCCTCTCAGCTGGTAATCCCGAGTCACAGATTTAAAGTGGAAAAACTCATCAGAAGACTAAAACTTTCCTCTCCAGGTATCCTGATGAGCAGGCCTGGCACACCAACATGAGCAGGAAGCTCATTAGGAAGTCTCCCCTGCTGGAGAAGTTTCATCAGTTCCTCATCAGCGAGACGGAGTCTGTGAGTTAAAAATATTTTGTTTTTAAGACCAGAGAGCTGAAACAGCAGTTAGCTCAACGTGGTCAAAGTGTTTACAGTTATGATCAGACTGAGAGGAAAACTGCAACAACATGAAGGTCTTTCTTCTTTTCAACCAGCATTAGCTAACTCATAATTACAGCTCAAGTAATGTTTTAAACAAGTGTGTAGTTTTTAAAGAAGTCTTTTGAAAATTAAAACCGTAGCTCTTAATGCTCAAGTTTGACTTCATGTTACAATATAAATGTGACCTCCATCCATCTGCACTGTGAACAATCCACAGCTCTGATGCAACACGCCTGCACAGAAAATATCACGTCATGCTAGTAAATACAGATGCTAGATGTTAGCATGTGTGGATCGATTCTAAAGTTGTGCAGTCAGACCTGATTGAATAATAACAACAACAACAATAATAATAATAATAATAGTTGACACAACACAAAGTGAAGCGCCTCATCGTGATGGAGATGACAGCCTTTTAATGAGATATTTCTGTTTGATATCAGGCTGTCATTGTGTTGCTTGAACAGATTTTATTTATTTGTTGTGGGTGGGAATAAAGTTACTGTTTATTATGGTTTATTATAAATAAAGTGTGCCTGTGTATTTTATACTGAATTATTTCAAGT